TGCCAGGCAAAATGACACAGATGGTGTAGTGATTCATGTGGCATAGTCGGCCAGCAGTAGTATAATTGAGGATGGCACTAATGTAATATTCTATCACCTGTTGGAAAAACTACTCGTACTTGTAAAACTGTCAGGTCACTGTCAAATGTTTAAAAATCTATCACTTATGCAACACTTCCACTTCCAGAGCTTCTGAACGGACAGTCTAGTTGGATATCATTTAACGAAGCACAACTCATGACATTTTCACATTAACTCTTTCTAAGGATCATTTGACATAAATCTGGTACAACAGTTTCAATGAGAAAATGACCTCGCCTATGATGAGTTCATCAGGCCTCAAACTCTTAAATTCGATGTACTGCAGGGTGAAATTCAGCTTCTGGTTAGCTTGTTTTAAGACAGCAACAACAACTTAAGCTGTTTGGTATGTCCACAGGAAATCAACCTGTAAGGATATGAATAATAAGACGGTTAACACATCCTTTTGCATTAACTCATTAAATTGTAAATATTTCAATACTCTGTCTGCACATTCAGCTTTCCTGGTACAGAAAGCTCCTATTAAACAAGTCTATCTTATTTTGTCTTCTTGAATATTTCTGACATTATTGAAATTGTTGTGTTTTGTGATTTGATAAGCAACTTCATGGAAGATGGACTCAAGTAGAACTGTGTGGTGGGTAAACACAACTTGGATGTGAATACAGCTGGCTGATGCAAAATGTTTCTTAATGATTCCTTATTTTTTTCTATTGCTTTGGAAAGTATTTCATGGTTTCAGATTCCACAAATCACAATGACTTGTTAATCAAGTTAGACTATACATTTTATTTTAGTGATCAGGAAAAATACCTCTGGTGCAGGCTTGGAGCCTTTACTTGTTGGATCATTGCTGCTGTGTTTCTCATCTTTGCTCTTCTGGAGATCTTTGCCAGTTTTTTGGAGTAGACTTAGCTCTTTTTGGAACTGGAACAGTTTTTGGAGCAGTGTAAAATTTGAAGCTGGCAGTGTGCGACTTTGCTCCTTCCCTCTTTGCCCACCTCTCCCGAGACTGTGTGATGTCTTTTGACAGCATAGGTTGAAGAAGTAGTCACCAGATAATGGCATGTGCTCATTTGCACGTTAGCAAATGCCATTTTCTGGTGACTTTTGTCTTTTGTAGCTAGTGCTAGCTACTTTCATTGGAGAAGACTTGGCAGCACTGATCGATACGGTGGCTGAGGCCTGAGCTGCTGACCACTCTCCTCCTAGGAAAGTACTGTCCTCATGCCAAGGGGTGATGGGGGTCCACGGGCTAATTCTTGTCTCATTTTTTGTCTGATGAACACTAAATCCATCAAATTCAGTGCCCTTTAATGCTGAAAAAGAACATCCTAAATTTAGAGAAAATATTGAGATAAAATAAGTATGGTAATATTGTAGCTTTAGCTCTGTAATGCTAGCTAGTGTTAGCTTTTTGCTAGCTAATGTAGCAACATACAGTGATGAAGTGGATCCATTTAATCCAGACTCGAGGGTTAATCTTGCTGACAATTTGGCTAGCTTGCCATTTGCAAAATATTAAGTATAGGAACATTGCAGATAGTAATCTTATTTTAAAAATGCTACTCCAGCATTTTTTCAGCAGGATGCCACTCAACTGTGGTTAGTCTCATGTTTGCTAGTTTCTTTCTTGGCTTATGACCCAGGTGCTTGCTCACTAGATGCTAACTGACATTCACTTAATGGCCTCAGAGAGATGCCACTAATAAGGTTTTCATAGCCTACAGAACCTTTAAGATTTCAGATACATACTATCAGATTCAGTAGAAACTTTGTTTTTCAGTCTTAAATAATCCATCCTGTTCATTTAAAAACCAATTAAAGAAAGCACCACCCTCTCTGAAGGACTAAAATGCTGACATTCTGATACTGTTGAATTAGAAGTTTTATTACAACACATCATTCAAATCTTTTACAAAACATTAGGCACTTTTGGAGTGTTAAAGGCATTACTTTAGGTGCATTCACAGCTGCTCTGAGTTTTTGCAGCCATAGTAATTTCACAAGGCTCATAGTTGTGATCTTACTTAAACAGTCAAACTTGCTGTTAAGGCCGAAAAACTAATTTAAAGTGTCAGCATATAATATCAGTTTTGCACTTACAGTAAAATGGTCCTAAAGACAGAAAGAACTTCAGCATTTCAATCTTTTTGGTATGTAAACTTAGTGAGTACACCATCTCTTGGCTTCTCGCTAAAACAGATGCCTCAGAGGGAGCTCAATGGCATTTGTTGGCCTTGTCGAAGAGAGCCCTCAGCTGCTCCTGGGAGGTGGCCTCCTTCTGCTGCATCAGGTCAGCGTGGCCTTTGGTGACACCCCAACCATCGGGTTTGGCCATCGCGGGGCAGAAGGGACGGCCAGAGGCAGGCTTCAGCTTCTCCCAGTAGTCACGACGGGCCCTACAGAGAGGAATACCTTTACTTAAAACCACACCGGGCTAATCGGAGGGAAAACAAGGAAAAAATTAAAGAAAGAAATCTCTACAATACCTCTCTCTGACCCAAGGCTTGGTGTGCATCTCCAGACCACTGCCCCAGTTGCCATGCTTCTCAGAGCCAGCAGGCAGGAAACCCCTCTCAGGTGCCAGCTCCTCAGCCAGGGCACTGGTGTGATAGGGTTCAAATCCACTGCAGCCTCCTATGTAACTGATACCAACATTGTAGGTTTCCCGGGCATATTTCTGCATGTCCCATCTGGTCATGATTCTCGGCTCCAGACCTGTTAAAGAACACACAGTTGTAATTTACTGTCTTCCATGTCAGCGACTGAGATATTTGATTTAGATTGAGACATTAAACAGTATTTAACATCAGTCTTGAGGGTGTATATTTACTGAAGGGGAACTCTGGCAGATCAATGAAACCCTGGCGGTTGCAGTCAGGAGTGTGGTAAGCCAGCGGTTGGCTCATGTAGTGAGCTTTCAGCCCTGCTCTCTCCACTCCCTCCTTCATCATCCTCACAGTTTTTACACAGGTCTCTGGGTCAAAGTGGCAGTTGACGCCCACAATCTGAGCCCCTACAAAAGATGAAATATGCACACATTTATCACGGCTCAAATATGCTACAGGAAACATGTTTCATTTATCCTGACAGCAAAAATGTGTGAAAGGAAAAAAAAAATAATAATACAGGCCTAGGTGACAAGTGGTGCAGCTTCTGTGTTGCTTTCTTTAGCAATATGTATTTTGTCTGTCAGTGTCTGTTCTTACTTCCACTCGATGGCGCCAGAGTCAGTCAGATAAAACTTTAAAAAAAAAAAAAAAAAAAAAAAGTCCAAAGCCTCACTGCATACAATTTCTGTAGTACCTCATTATGTGCAAATAGTTTCCTCACATTGTAAGTCCACCCTGTTTAAATCAATGAGGGCAGGCTTAATGACAGAAACACCTCTCTGTATAATGAAACCACAGCACCGGATACATCATTTTTCCTTCATTTATTTAAATTTCTTTTTTGTGGTGCTGTTGAAATTCCTAGCCTTCATGAAGGCAGGATTTATTGCCGCCTCTATAGACTGTACTGTACCTAATGAAGTGGCAGCTGATTGTAATTTGAAGAGGTCTCCAGTGTCTGTGCATTCCTGTAGTCAAACATTCTGCTCATGGTGGTCCCAATTTTGTGTTGTCAGACCTAGCCCTCCTCGGGCTGACGTGTTAGAAAAATGTTTAATTTCTAGGTCACAAGAATCCTGAAGTTGTTTGATTGTCTGAGCTTAAATTGTGTCACTGATGTCTGCAATAGGCTGTGTCCACCCACTGTGGGACAGGATGTTTAATACCCTTTGATACAGTTGATTGAAAAATTGAGATCTTGTGGTACCAGCTCTGACAAGTTTGACGGCACAGTCTCCAGGGCTGATTCCGTTCAGGTCTCCCTCAGGTCCAATACACAGGGTGACAGCCACAGGCTTTCCGGTGGTCTTCAAAACCTGGACAGCCCACTCAGCCTCTTCCACATGCTCAAAGTATTGCAAGCAATAAACACAGAAAAACCCACCTAAGCAAGAATATTCATGTTTAAGATGCAATGTGTATTTCTTATACCCTTACAAATGAAGTATAAAGTATAAAAATATGATCACTGTGGGCAGCTAAAGATGTCAGACCTCATTTTAAAGCTGCTATATATTTTTTAATTATCACAGTGAATCAAATAACTGTATTGTGAAGGCCTGCATCTTTACTGTTGGGTTCACTCTAACCACTTATTTTCTGCTGCAGAAAGCAGTTTTTACAAACAAAAAGCTCTTCAAACCAACAGAACACTACCTACTCAGCACCAAACAGCAGATAGACACAGTTAGAGACCAGCTGGTGACCACAATGGAGCATTTAGCATCAAAGGCAAGGCTAAGAGAGAGTAAATATTGGCCAAAAACATGACTCAATAGTAAAAGCCTCAGTTCCCCATAAATGCCACCAGACTCTATTGACAAAAACAGCCATTTTGACTATTGTGGCCAGCCTAAGGCACACCTGTGCAATATTCATGCTGTCTAATCAGCATCTTGATATGCCACACCTGTGAGGTGGGATGAATTATCTTGGCAAAGGAGAAGTGCTCACTAACACAGATTTAGACAGATTTGTGAACAATATTTGAGGGGAAATGGTCTTTTGTGTATATAGAAAATGTTTTAGATCTTTGAGTTCAGCTCATGAAAAATGGGAGCAAAAACAAAAGTGTTGCGTTTATATTTTTGTTCAGTGTAGCAGTGAATTAATCCAGTTTATTATAATCAAGGGACATCAAAAATGCAGACTGAAATGTGTTTCACTTTGCCGGACAACAATAGTAGTTACAAATTGTAGTGGTAATAGTAGTACTTACGAAAACTGAAAACAATTGTATGATGTCTTCAGTGGCTCTAAAGTCTGAGTAACCCTGATGATGTGAGATTTGAGTCTTTACCAGGCAGGGAGGGTCTAATGAAAATGTTACATGATGGGAAATGAAGAGTGCAATGATTTTGGTGCATAAAACTCAGCATATCTTGGCTCATTTTTAAAATCTGGCTCTTGCGAGTCCCATAGCTTGAAGAACAATTCTTAATGTCATTTGCCTTTTCAGATTTTTCACACAATTTAATCTCACGCCCAATTTCCCAACAGTGTTCACTACATACCCCTGCAATCGAGAAGTCCACATTTTTCTTGACAAAGACATCAGTCTGTTTCTTAAAGATGGCCTTGACCTCATTCTCGCTCTTGCAGCTGAGGTAAGAGGGAGTCTGAGAGACTCCTCCTGCCACCAGAGCATCACCCTCATTGGCCACCTTCCTGGCCAGGTCACAAGCTGCTTCGTTTATCTGCTGCCCCTGCAGATCAAAAGAAAATTCACTTTACAT